CAGGTCCTATTCAGCATGGTGATGTGGTGACTTTTGAAATGAAGGTTGTAGTGTTTTGAGTTGAGAAAGGTAAAGAAATGGGGATTGAGAGGCTGGTTATTGAAGGGGACTCAAAAACTGTGGTGAACTAGTTGAAGATAGGGGATGGAATTAGTTGGCAACTAAAGAATGAACTCAGGCGCTTCAAACAAGCTTTTAAAGGCATAGTGCTTCAAATAAGGTGGATTAGAAGATCAGTTAATAGCATGGCTGATGAACTAGCTAAAAAAGAGGTTCGAAGACAATCTATTTTTTGGGCTATATTTTAATTAACAGGGGTTTCTATTGGCTTACCCTTTGGGTTATGTTGTAATTAAAAGGAATGACACTAGGATTATTTGTGGCAATGATGTATCTAGTGGGACACTATGGGCTGCTTGTCCGCCCACAACTTATTATTATACATGACTTTTTAAATTAATGAATCTTTTGTGTTGCTGATAAAAAAAATGTTTTGTATAAGATTCTCGCTAATATTCTATCTAATAGACTTCGTACAATTTTGGACAAATGTATTGCTCCAACCTAAGCTGCTTTTACATCCGGTTGCCAGATGTTGGATTTCTATCATTACCCATAAAATGTTCCATTTTTTAAAAGATCACAAGAGAAGTACAAGCTGTGGCTATCAAAATAGATATGTTTATGATAGGACGCTAGAATGGTCCTTTTTATTTAAAATGCTCCAAACCCAAGGATTCTTTGAGGATATTTATTACATTATTCATGAATGCATCTCTTCTGTCTCCTCGATTTTAATTAATGGTACTTCCAAAGGTCATTTCACAACCACTAGAGGTCTAAGGCACGATGATTCCCTATCACCATATCTTTTTATAATAACAATGAAAGGTCTCTCAAAACCATTACTAAAAGCATTTGTGATAAGCCAGCCAAGCAACAGGTAAACATGTCCTTATTCAATCCGCTCTTCAATTCAATCAATTCTCATTCATTCTACAAATGTTATTCAATTTCCCCAAAAAACTATTCAAGAAATTGAAATTTTGATAAAAACTTTTGGTTGGCTAAATCAAACTCTAAACATATACCTTTCCGGTGGTGTGCTTGTCACAGAATTACTTAACAAAAAACTCTGGGGGGTTTAGGTCTTAAGAATATGAAATTAGCTAACTTAGGCCTTTTGAAAAAACCTTGACCGGAGATTTATTAATGAGTAGCATAAATTATAGGCCCAATTATGAAAATCAAAATATCTGAAAAACAAAGGTTTCTTTCCTTACTCTACCGCTGTCTCTACCTCATTCTTCTGGAAATCAACAACCCCTAAGCTTCGACATATGTATAATGAAGTGGGGCATTTGGTTAATGGGAACTCATCAATGCATGATTCTTATCCGCTCTTTTCCAAAATACCAGCATATTTCTAGCCAATTTTCTAGTGCGGATTGTTGCTCCTCATCAATTTAAGTGACCTACTCACCTTCAATTTTTACCTGGAAACAAATATCATCTGTGCATAAAGTTTAAGGGAAAAATGTTTAAGCACAAAAAAAATTGAAACAACATCTACAACTAGACTACAAATTAAACTTCACATACCTCTCTTTGGCAGGTTTCAGAGCACCTCTTGGTTCAGCTAGTTGTTTCCTATGGAAATTACTAAAGATCTTGTGATGTTTTGGAATGTCCCTTCTCACAATATTTACCCAGGCTTTCCCAAATCTTTTCCACCACTTTCTCAGTCAAGGCTTGATCTTTCTTCACTATTTGCTTCTTTGGCAACCTGCTTTCAATGATTTGTTCCTCAAAAGAGAAAACTTGAACTTTTCTTTTGAAAAAAGTTACGAGAAAACTTGAATGAGAAAATAACCAAGATGGCCACACAAGCTGTTACAATGCAAAGAAAATAATAAGATCATAAAGCTATATTTGGTTTGAAGGAAAAGGTAGGGAAAGGAAGGGAAAGGTAGGGAAGCCTATACAAGATTTGTAAAGGTTTCCCTACCTTTCTCCTTTCCATACTTTTTTCAAACCAAACACAGCCTAAGTGTCTCCTTTCTCCAGTACCTTCACATGGCAAACCTGGAAGGTACCTACCTCAGACATAATAGACCATTGTATTCCTCCCGTGAAGTGATTCATACTAGGGATGTGGTTCACCCATCCCCGCCTGGCTTCATGGCCCTAATCTTCTATCAGAGACTATCATTGCAGCTAAGGATCCCAAATCCAGTGTACCCTTTAAGTAATACTCCACACAAATATCTGAGAAGCTAGACAAGTTCAAGGAAGCCGCCAGCTTATCATAAGTAGGAGGAATTCTACAAGTTATACCCTCACCAGGCTTAAGAGGACTAATTTCATTTAGATGTTCTGATGGGTTTTCCATCCCATGTAGCACTTTGTCCTCAGCACCCAATCTCCAACCCTTGGAACCAAGATTATGCTTCAGAACTGGCATGCCCATTCAGGTTGATGCTGGATTTGAGGACTCTTTGTCTTTGAACCTCATCTTCCTGTACTTCTGAATGTGCTCTCCAAGCATTGATAGATATCTCTCCTCTGTAATGTGAGTTCTGTAATCACCATCTTCTTCCTCGTCGTTACTGTCAGCATCTCTCGTAGCAGAAGAATTTGAATCAGACTCGGTCTCAATGCATGCCCATCTCTTCTTCTCAGGCCCAAATCGAAAGACCTCTCTAACAAAGTCCCATTCCCATCATCCACCTTGGCTCCCTTACCTTACCTGTTTAACAAGCAACAGAGAACCAGCATTGGGAATGTAACTCGACAATTGTCTGCCCCAAATTCTCCACACCAGCCCAATTGGGGGAAATTAAGTAAAAAGGTATTAATGTTTATTTTTAAGGTGATCTTGTAGGGGTGATCAGTAGGGGATATAATTCTCAGTTGTAATGGGTGATGGCGCCTTCTACTTGGTTTAGTTTCCTTTGTTTCATCTATATTTTGGATTTTCTTTTTGTAGTGATTTCTGGTCACCTGGTGTTATACGATGTTTTTAATTTTTTTCATAAAATTCTTTTTTATTTATCTTCAAATAAAATAACAAATTGGCGCATTCTGTGAACACATATACAGGCCTTTCGATTGTTTTACTGGTCCTTAATACAAAAGCTAATAAATTGTTTCAGTCTTCCACAGAGAGATCACCTGAAATGATATTGTAGCTTTGTACAAAGGGTTTTTGTTTTGATTCAGGCATATAGGCAGCATTTTCTCACTCCAGCTTACAACCCAAAGATATATAGAGGTAGAAAATTGTTGATAAAACTACATAGACAGCTATCCATTGGAGATATTTACAAAGCACTAACCAGAAAGTCAACTAGAATACTAAATGTGGTATCATCAGGTGACCCACCCATTGATTGGTTTGAACTTTTGATCACCACATATACCATATGCTGTGTTAAGTGATGACCTAGTGAGTACATTATTTATTTTGCACCGAGTGGATGATATAGATTTATGTTAGCCTATCATGTCTGAATTGGGTAAGACATCAAATGCACTTTAGTAAACAAAGGAAGAATGTCCTACAGAAGCAACACCAAGAACTTCAAAATCCCCAACTCAGCCATGCAATGATAGGCTTGATAAAGATTCTAAGGAGTAGGGACCACATCAACAAAATGATCCAATAATCAAGCAGTTGAACTCGTCCTATAAATCCAATTTCGGGAAGTGTTTACAATAAGTTCAGTTCAGCCACCAAGCAGGTTAGCCTAGGTTACACTGGAACAATCAAAACTAACTATGTTTATATGAGAATCCTAAACTTTGTAGTTCATATTACAAGACCTTTTGGATGCACTTTAAGTATTGATGGCATGAACAACTCTGATTGACAAGTTCAGACTACCTTGACAGGGTAGGCAAAGTGATCTCACTCCATGAATACCTGGGTACTTGTGCATGCCTAGTGCAAAGGTGTTGGACATGATATAGATATTTACCTAATACAACACCAGATACTGCATGTGTTAAATTTGATTAAAGCATAAGCATATTATATGGGATACAAATACCCATATCCGAGTATATATATACATATCTGAGCATCATAGATCTCACTTGCAAGGATTTAATGATGCTTATCAGGATTTAATGAGCATATCTGACATAAGTAATATCCTTTTCAGTTTGAGTGGAGCTGAACTAGAAGATTATTGTAAAGTGGAGTGTTATTAGAGCAGTTAGCTTGATAAATTATATAAAAGCCAAGAACATGCAAAAGTTGTTACTTATTGTTGTAAAGAACATTACATTAACCTAGAGAGAAAATTTGCACCCTTGGCTTAATTCCCTCCCTCTTCCTAGATCACATTAGGTGGGTGGGTATTTTTTTTCCGGAAGGGGGTTAGTTACTTATATCTTCGATTAGTAAATATTTCTGTAAGCTTTCAAGAGGAATGGGCAGAAAACAGAACAAAAGGTATCACTTTGTATCAACAAGATTGTCAAGAAATTAAAACTAAAGGATCCATAGCTTCTCTTCAAGATTAACTTTCCACTAAGAAGATTCAAAGTGTTCTTTTGCCAACTATAAGCAAAATTACAACATACCACCCGCAAACAGAACTACCATCTGTAGACCGGCAGAAGTCACAAGTCTAATGGCCATTAAAACCAATTGTTTCGACAACAAGACAACCTATGGTATATTTCAGTAACCAAGTCAATAAGCAGAGAAGTGTACCCTAAAAATTCTTTTCGCAGCAGTGCATCTGCCAATACTGATAGTTTCAGAGACCCCACTCCCATGGTACAGCACGATTTTTCTTTTCTTTTTTTTTTGTCTTACTTATTTTATTTTACTTTTCTGAGGGATTAGGGCATTAGGCATAGCACGATAAATCCTTGTAATCCCCATCTTTCTTCCAGCAAATGCTGATCAAAATATGTAGATCAAATTGAAGAAGAGTACCCAAAGGCTAAAAACAAATTGGCACAAGAAAATCAATAAAAACAAAGGATTTGTGAACTGCCAAACAGAAATTTAATTTAAATATAAGCAATTACTCTCTTAAATTTTAATTGTATAAGTATCAAGTACAATCCCGGTAGACCAAAACGGACTACAAAACATGTATCTATATTGATCAATACATAGGACAATATAACTGCAATAACCCACAACCCCAACCTGAACTTTCTAGGCAACTGTGACGGACTGTTGCTTCGAAGGCTCGAGATTCTTCTTGATATTCCGATCGGGTTCTCCCATGAAATCTTCCATGTTGTAGATAACAGTGATGTAAAGGGAACAGCTAGGGCATCGAGCGATCTCCTCCCCCAGCCTCAGCTCCTCTTTCGTGATCTGAAACAAATCCCCACATGGGCATGGGTACGTGAAGGCCTGAATCTCTTCGTTCCACTCCATATCTTCAATCTCCACGTCGTCGTACGACATCGCTGGTTGTCTACTCTCCTTTATTCAACTTTCAACTTTCAGAGGCTCGACCGAGACCCTGAGGCCCTGTTCGTTTTCAGAGAACGTAGGTAGGGTTTGGGGGCGAGACAGAGAGGGGCGGCAAAGCGGACAAAATGGAGCATGGGAGAAATCGCAATACTAAAAGTGCAAATTTCTTAAAATTAATCGTAAGGTTTAAAAAATTGACTAATTCCACCCATACCATACTGTCTTAGTATTATCTTAAATTATCTCCGAAATATTGGCACACTACTCTTCTATTAACTCTTCGTCACATACCATTTACTTATGACTAGACCTGTTCATGGGTCGGGCAGCCTGGCCTAGCCCAGTTCGACCCTCGGACGGGCTTGAGCATGCATTTTAGCCCGTGGGTTTGACCTTGAGCCTAAAAGCCTGAACTTGATTATTTTATCTATCGGGCTCCGCAGCTTAGGATTTGTTAAAAAAGCCTGGTTCGGCCCAACTTTTGTATAAGTTAAACCCTACCCCTAAATATTAACCCCTCTTTTCTCAACCCCTCTCTTATCACTCATCTCTTTCTCTTAGCCGAACGAACTCCTTTCTCAATCACAGCCTTACATAGCCAAACATTCTCAAGAAGACAGAATCGACGCAACCAGCGAACTCCGGCAGTGACTGGTGAGTCCTCTCTCTTTCTCTCTCCTCTTCTCATTTCTCCTTCTCTCTCAGAATCTCAGTAGCTCATTTATCATATGCGAGTCACGCAAACTCAGGCACCGATAGTGAATCCTCTCTCTCTCTCTCTCTTTTCATTGTTCGGCTGTTCCTCTTCTTATTTCTCCTTCTCACTCTTAGAATCTCAGCTTAGTTCATTTATCAGACGCGAACTCAGGCACCGACGGCGAGTCCTTTCTCTTTGCCCTTTTGTTCTATTCCTCTCTTATTATTTAGTCGGCGGCAAACACAAATACAAGCACCGGTGGCGAACACAGACACAGGCATCGACCTATCTTTTTATTAGGTCGGGCCCGGGCTTCGGGCTTTTTATTAGGGCCGGGCTCGGGCCCAAATTGTAGGCCCGTTGGTCGGGCCAAGCTTGGGCTCAGGCTTGGACCTAACAAAATCTTGTTTATGAAGAGTAAAAGCCTGGCCCAGCCCAGCCCGGCCCAAGAACAGGTCTACTTATGACTTCACGTCCTTGATTTAATATTATATTATACCCAAAATACCCTTTAATAGTCGGAAATGCCCTTTTCACTTACACACAAAGAGATAAAGACCAAAACCTATTATACTGGTTCTATCATTGGTAGTCATCAACAAGAAAACTGGGTTTTGTGTAGATAAAGACGAACCTCAACATGCACATCAATGAGTCATATGAACAAACCATTCAAGGATGGGAATAGTGATGACAACTTAAAGGTCGAGTTGTGCAACTAGGGTTATCGACAACACAATAACGAAGGAAAGAGGAAGGAGGAGGGAGGAATGAGGAAGAAGGAAGGAGATCTGTGTCAATTGACACTGAGGTAGAAATTTAAAGTGAAAATAGGTCTAGAAATATGTAGATGAACAATCTGGTGAAGGAGATTTGGAAATATGTAGATGAACAATCCGTTGTAGGTGAAGGAGATTGTACACATCTAAACAAAGTTGCATATGTGCCCTAGCACCTATTCGATGAAATGTTTGCTCACATTCAAGTTGCATGCCTACGTGTAGCCCACCTAGTGCCCATGTACACCCCCCCCCCCCACACACACACACACATGCAGACCCAACCCTGTACAGCCCCCCATGCATAATCCCCCCATGTGCGCGCCCGCGCCCAACCCTGCGCAGCCCCCCTATGCATGCTCCCACACAAATGCCCATGTGTCACAAGTGACTCCTTCATCACGCCATCAAGCACCTACCAACGTGCCATCAGAGTGCCTACAGCATGCCTTTATGGTGTCATCATGTGTGTCATGGGTGGGCTATGTATGTATCTTGTAAGGGGGGACCGCCAATGGCGTTATTGTAATTATTTAGTATGATTTTCCACTCTTTTGATGTTTTCTTTTGTCACTCCCCCAAAAGCTTAATGTACTCTTTGAGGGGAGGTAGGTAGTCGAGTGAGTGAGTCATAAGCATGTAAAGGTTAAGCACGAGATCCCCTCGACACTGAACTATGTGCTTGTACTTACCACTGATTAATGCAATACAAGTTGTCTTTTGTCTAACTTGTGTGTCTTCTTGTTTCCTTTTGTGTGTTGTTGCTTGCATTTGTAGGCTTTCTCGACCCCATCGAGCACTGCACGGGGCCTTGTCGATTAGCCCCATGATAATTGGTACCAAAGCAGGAGCTCCTTCCTAGCTATTCGACCCGTGACGCGAGTGACAGCATGAAAAACAACAAGGACATCATGGAGGAGATTGAGCATGGACTCTCCACAACCCATGAGCCCGACGATGCACCCGCCAATGACATTAGCAAGGACAAGGCACCAAAGCCCAACAAACGTGAGAAATCTTTCAACAAGCATGCAGCCATTGACTTGCGCATGCTACGTTGCGAAGCCACCATTGGTGAGATGCGAGACTCGATAGATGAGTTGCATCAAAACATGGAAGCCATTGACAGTACACTGGTCGAGATGGAAGGTCGCCTGAGTGGAGTCGTGGATGAGGTCCGTGACATAATCAATGGCACACTCAAGGAAATTTGCAACACTGCATGCCAACAAGAAGCAAGCTCATCCAACTCGCAGGTCCAAGACAAGCTTGACAATTTTCAAGCCCAGCTCGATGTAATGAAGAAAGAATGGGCAACGTGGAGAGGAACCATCTCCACATCAATGGCCATCCAGGCCCAATTAGATGAAATGAAAGCAGAGTGGGCCTCAATGAAGTCAGCCGCGTGTGCCTCCTCTGACGTCCAATCTCAACTAGAGGAACTCAAAGCTGAATGTGCAATCCTAAAGAGGGCCATCGCCAATCCAGCCAGCACCTCATTTGCATATACTCCCTCCCACATCAAGATTAGGGAGCCAACACCCTATTCGGGTACCCGCAATGCACAAGAGCTTGGCAACTTCTTGTAGCAAATGGAACAGTGCCTTGCCGTAACCAATGTGACTGATGAAACGACTCAGGTGCGTACTGCTACTATGTATTTGACTGATGTCGCTATGTTATGGGGCGCAGAAGGTGTGTTGACATAGAACATGGTACCTGTGCTATTCGTACCCAAGCTGACTTTAAGCGAGAGCTGAAGAAACAGTTCTACCTAGAGAACATGGAGTACCTCGCTCGTCACAAGATGAAAACTCTCAAGCATGGTGATTCGCTCCATGAATATGTCAAAGAATTTTCAGCCCTCACATTGGAAGTCACCGATATGTCAGACAAGGACTTATTGTTCAACTTCACAGATGGACTAAAGCTTTGGGCCAAGCTCGAGCTCCAATGACGTAATGTTCAGGACCTTGCCTCCGCCATGGCCGTGACTGAACAACTTAGTGAAGTGAGACTGTCGGATGATGAAAGAAGCAAACCAGCCAGCCCGCGTACCACACATTCGAGTGGGGGAGATAGACAACCAAGTCCCCCAAAGGAGAAGCAACCCTTCAACCACAAACCAGTCGAGCACCACAAAGGGAAGCAGCCACAAGGAAGTCGAAGCTACTATAACAATAGATATCAAGGGAGACCCAACCATCCTCCCACTTGCTACATTTGTGGGGAGGAGCACTTGACCAGGAATTGCCCCAAGCGAGAGAAGTTGAATGCCCTCATTGCCAAACTAAGTGATGATGAGAAGAGTGATGGGGAACGGAGTACTCAGACGCTAAGATTGGGCGCCCTCCAACTTTTCAATGTTATGATGAAGAAGGGGGCTACTTCGAAGCAGCCCACCTCAGTTAAGAGAGGATTGTGGTATGTTGACATATGCCTTGGTGGGAGGCCAACCAGGGCCCTAGTTGACACAAGGGGGCCACTCACAATTTTATCTCCACTATAGAGGCCAAGAGACTTAACTTGGCCATTCCAAAAGAGCCTGGCTAGCTCAAAGCTGTTAACACAAGTGCAAAACCCATTGAAGGCATGGCTCGTCGAATAAAACTTTGAGTCAGCACCTGGGACAAGGAGATCGATCTCTCCGTAGTACCCATGGATGACTTTAATGTTGTCCTGGGCATGGACTTTTTGGCATAGGAAAAAGCTGCACCAGCACCTCATCTAAAGGCCTTGCTAATCATGGACGAGTCGTTACCCTGTATGGTCGAAATAATTGTTTCAGTTGACACCGAGAAGAAAAAAGTCTCAGCCCTTCAGCTCCAGCATCCAACCCCACACCAAGAGACGTCAAAGGACTCGACAACAACAACCAAGGACACTACCACCAGACGTGATTGTGCCAACTCCAACAAGAAGTCAGCACCACAACAGCAACGACATCAGCAAAAGCCACATCCGCAGCAGAAGCCTCATATGCCCTTAACTGATGGGCCCAATAGAAGACCCAAGGTCGTGTCCAATTTCGCCCACATCTACTACCACAACCACCGGGGAGAGTGAGTGCCACCCAAGCCATTTAGGGACCACTTTCGCACCATCCCTCAAGTTAAATCCTGTAGTAGCCCTATGAGTCATCCTTGGGGAAAAATTCATGGGAACCAACACCCCAACAATCCAAAATACTATTTTGACCCTTACTTGGCCCAAACATTCCCTATAGCCAAGCTGAATCAGCCACTAACATACCTTGAGGCCGCCAGGAAAGGACTTATCCATAGGATGTTATTGTAATTACTTAGTATGATTTTCCACTCTTTTGATGTTTTCTTTTGTTACTCCCCCAAAAGTTTAATGTACTCTTTGAGGGGAGGTAGGTAATCGAGTGATTCATAAGCGTGTAAAGGTTAAGCACGAGATCCCCTCAACATTGAACTGCGTGCTTGTGCTTACCACTAATTAATGCAATACAAGTTGCCTTTTGTCTAATTTGTGTACCTTCTTGTTGCCTTTTGTGTGTTGTTGCTTGCATTTGTAGGCTTTCTCGACCCCATCGAGCGCTGCACGGGGCCTCGTCAATTAGCCCCGTGACACATGCGCACCCCCTATGCACGCACAGCCCCACACACATCTTGTTTGCCTCATGCACCCCTCACCTCCCCGTGCACCCAAGCACTATACTTTCACGGTCATAACATGAATTCTTACAAATAATATGGTGTTGTTTTCAATGACCCCTCGACTATACCCAATTCGATACCATGAAGGTTTTCTGCCCATGTAGTGGTGGAGAGTGTGTACTTGTTGTTGCACGAACGGGATGGCTAAGAATGTTGGTCGGGAATTCTATGGTGATTTTGCATTGGGCATTTGATAACATATCATCTAACTCATTTCTTGGTTATTATTGTAGTTTGCCCTTCATAGAAAGTGTAATTTCTTCTTATGGAAGGATGAGGCAAGGAGTTGTCCATGTGGAACTAGGGTTTGCAAGATCTTCGCATATAAACGGGTTGGCACACAAGTGAGACAATTTTGGGTTTACACAAAGCCCCAAGTAAGATGTATTTGTTTATTGTTTTAGTTAAATATTCAAACGCTAAATCCACATTATTTTTTGTAGGGTGCAGGTGGGTGTAGGTTCTTTGCGGGACACCAATGATAGCAAATGTCTAGTATAGCATGGGGAGCGTAACTATCAAAGGAGATGGACAGGGCCTTTGGGAAGTATGGAAAGGTCATGTAAAGACCCACTATATGAGGTTGAAGTAGTCCTCCAATTATAGAAGGATAACTTCAATAGAATGTCTGAATTTTGTTATAAATTATTGGGTCATATAATCTCATGCACCACTATGTAATATTGGAACTCGAACAATTATGATGTTATAAAGCATTTAACTTGGTTTTACTAAAAGTTAGTTTTGCTTTACACAAACGAGTTGATATTGTTGCTTAAACTTAATCAGGTGTTCTTTTTTTGGATTTTGAGAGGGGGAAAGTTGGTCAATGGGATTTTGGTTCCCATTGACCAAGAATCCCATGTTCATTTTTTGTATTTATGTGGGGATTAGAGAAAGTTTATTTTCCCGGTTAAGTGATACCCATCTCCTAGGTGGGTAAATAACTTTTCCACTTAGGGGGAAAGTTGCCAACACTTGAATGGGACAAAAATGCCCCTTTTAATAATGGGTTTTATGGTTAAAATGGTCATTTCCTTATTTACCTAGGAAATAAAAGAACATGGGTAAATGCACTTACCCGGGTAAATGTTTCCCAGAAAAAACTTACCTAGATAATTGCATTTACCCGGATAAATAACTTACCGAAAAGCGAACGGGGCCTAAAATGATTATTGCCATTATTTGTAGGGAGTTTTTCTCAATTAATTATGAGGTATCCAGTACTCCAAAGTCCATTTTGAATAGCCAACTCCCCTCAATTCTAAAAATTACAAAAAAATCACCAAACAATCATATTTGAAGAAAAAAATATCAAATGATCTATAGATATGATAAATCAGCCAAATATTAAGAATATATTCAATCCTTATGGGCAAATTGCAATAAAAAATAAATAATTAATATTTACTTTTAATTATAAAATTTACAAAAATTAATATTTGAAGAAAAAATATCAAATGATATTTGGATATGATAGATCAGCCATGTATTAAGAATATATTCAACCCTTATGGGCAAATTACAATAAAAACGATTAATTAGTATTTTTTTAATTTTGAAAATTACAAAAAAAAACAACAAAAAATCGTATTTGAAGAAAAAATATTAAATGATCTATGGATATGATAGATAAGCCATACATTAACACTATATGCAGTTCTTATGGACAAATCACAATAAAAAATAATTAATTAATATTTAATTTTTAATTCAGAAAATTACAAAAAATTCAAAAAAAAATCATATTTGAAGAATAAATGCCAAATGATCTATGAATATGATAGATCAGCCATATATTAACACTATATGCAGTTCTTATGGACAAATCACAATATAAAATAAATAATTAATATTTAATTTTTAATTCCAAAAATTACAAAAAAATACAAAATAAATAAGTATTACACAAAAAAATTTAAATCTTACATGGATATGGTAGATCATCCATAGGTTTCTAACATATTAATTGCTTACATTCAAATAAAAACACAAACATTTTTTTTCTATTTTCTATTTTTTGTTTTTTCTAATTTTCCTCACAAAAATCCATAGATCTACACATATAATAAAAAATTTGTGATTTTTGACATGGAAAATGTAGATCAGCCATAATTATAACACATTCAAGCATTCAAACAAAAAAAAAAAACAACAAATCAAAAGGGTTAAATGAAAAAAAAAAGTTGAAGAGCTCACCTATTTTTGCAATATTTCCCAAAACTTGAAATTTCTTCTCAAATCTTCACTTTTGATGTGTTTTTGTTGTTTTTTTTTTTTTTTTGAAGATCTAACAATGTAGGCAAGTTTTTCAAAGATTTGGATTGGAGTGGTTTGGGNGGGGGGGGGGAGAAGACTTTTTCTGGGAAGAAGCCTTCTTTCACCTCATTTTAAGTTTCCGTCGATGTCATTTTTGTAGCGTATTGGTCGATACGCCTCCATATCGCTAACATATCAACCGATACGATATCAGAAACACCCTCATATCGTATCAATACGGCACCCAATACACATGAAAAAAGACAATACACCCGATTTTCATGCATATCCCATATCCCCTTTTAAAAAATACTTTAAACCGTGGTACATTGAGAAATACAATTGAGATGCAATTCTAATGAAAAACGAAAAAGAAAATTTGAGGTTTAAAGTGATATTATGAGTTATTTTTGAGTTTAAATTGTTTTATTTTTTGTATATCCAACCAAATAATTAAGGCTCTTTGGGAGACCTGAGCTGAAATGTTTTAAAAATCTTAATATAATGAATGAATGATGTTTATATGAGGCGTTAGTCGTACAGATTTGAGGCGTGAAGACTTGACGCTTCATAGCCTTTCTTTTAGCCTCGGGAGGATAGGGAGGCGTTCACCAGAGACTCTCGAGGATAGGGAGGGGTCCGAGGGGAAGATCCATTCTATATTGTGGAATGCTACGTGGCAGTGTACCATTGATGCTCTTGATTTCTTCGGCCCTACATGACACCGTAAGAGCCACAGAATGATAGAGAGAGAGAGACTAATTAAAGAGAGAGCGAGAGCGAGAGAGAGAGAGAGAGATTCAACAATGGCTGGTCTTAGTTTCTGCACAGCCCTTTCTTCTGGAAGGTAATTGCTGCACAGCTTTAAATTGTGGGTTCATTTATTTCACAATTCAATTTTGTTTTTCTATTTTTGCTTTCCTGTTTTGTGTACAAATGTTGGGGAATTATTATTATCTACATAACATGCCATTTGAATAGTAAATTATAAATTCTCAGTTTCTCACTATAATTATTCGCTGGAATCTGTAATTTCGCGGGTTTTCTGTTGAAGAATTTTAGAATCCAATGTTCTTTGTGCAGTAAGTCTGATTATTTGATGAATGTTTGGTAAGGATAATAGAGTCATTAGCAATCTTTGGCTAAACTTTCCGAAATAACTTCTAAATGTGGGTTTAGTAATCACTAACTTGTGAGCCTACCAAAAGGTATGTTAAATTCAGTAGTTTATGTGTGCTGGTCTTTCCTTTTTTTCCTCCTTTTGTGAAGGCTTATCACTTGTCAAAGACTAATGAATCCCTACATTATCGGGCTTTTCTGTTATTGTAAAATAATAGGTAAAACTCCAACGATCTTTTCTGTGGAGATGCTTCTGAATGCAACTTATATGATTAGATAAATATGGATTTGAGTTTAAGAGTTGCTAGGGATGATGGCCTCCTTACCTGGGAAGAGAATATTGAAACTCCTTTTGTCTGGATTTCAGAACGTCTTGGTTAGTATTGGATACCAATTTTGGTGGGAGCATGCCTTGCAAACCACTTCATAAGAGAAGTGTGGGAATCAGGGCAGAAGTGAACTATGTAAATTCTGAAGTAGCTAAAAAACTCATAGCAGTTGAGGGTTATGCAGTTTTGGATGTGCGAGACAAATCTCAATTTGATCGAGCTCATATAAAGTCATGTTATCATGTGCCTCTTTTTATTGAAAACAAGGACAATGACCTCGGTATGATTTCTGCTCTCTATCCTATGCTGTGTAAATGTACCACTTCTCAGTCCTTTTCATAACAACCTTACCCTTTTTCGGATCAATAATCTTTCCTGGTTTAATCATGCAGGCACAATTATTAAGCGGACTGTACATAACAACTTTGCTGGGTTGTTCTTCGGGTTGCCATTCACTAAACTTAATCCTGCTTTTGTGCAATCTGTTAAAAGTCAATTCTCCACTGATAGTAAATTGTTACTTGTCTGTCAAGAAGGGCTAAGGTCAGATTTCATTTTGCTGACACTTTTTTGGTTTTTGTTTCTTTTTCCTCTCCAATGCTCATAATGAATTACAATAAAGGTTGCTTTACAGAGAGAAAGGAGAACATGAATTCTAACTCAATTGGACCTTTCATAGATTGACAATCTTACTGTTGGGGCATGGCAAAAGGTCATAATGATATATTCTACTAATGCTGATGACAAGGAAACCCATCAAAAATGAAATTGCTAATAACCAGGAAAAGATCCATTTTTTGAGAGTAGATGTATGCGCTTGGTCAGTTGGTCTAGTTTGTGCTGTACCTCATCCATGAGGGGGCGTATTAGATAAATGGTCCAATTAAAGCATTAGGGATTAAAATTGACATAAAGCATTGTTGTCTATTTACAGAAAGAAAAATACTGAATAATGAAATCAAAATGATACAGAACTTGAGCTTTTTTGTCTTTGATATATTTAAATAGCATTACTTTATAAGAACTCCTAGCCTTTTATAGTTTTATTATAATTATAATCTACATTTGCATTCTCAAAATTCGAAATAGCATACTAGGTTAGATATCACTCATTTGAAGTAAAGTTGATCCTTGATGCACTTTTCAACCATTGTGGTAATGGGAGCTTACTTTTCTCAAAGATGTAAGATACAATAGTTCTGCTTAATGCAGATAGGGATCATGGATGATGGGAATAATAAGGTAGAAAGTCAGTCGATGTAGTTTCCTTTTAGGATCAAACCTGCCTTCACCCTCCCCAAACCCCTTACTCCCATGTTTTGCCTAGAAAAATGGCTTACATAATGAATCATGCTTTGAAACTCGGAAATCCAAATTAGACTTGGGACACAAAATTTAGGACTTTCAATCTCAAGTAAACCTAGGACATGCCCACGAAGTTTGGTTAAGCATGTTAATTGGCTGGGATTTCTAGTCAGTTTATGAACTACAGTTAACTAAATTATTTTCTGCTTGCATGCTTTGCAAACTAGTTTTCTTTGTGCCAATTTGCAGTTTGGTTCTTAATAATTTAATTTCACCTAAGGTTTTAAAAGGCTAAAGCCATAGCTGAAGTGTAATGGCTCAAAAAAGTGAGGCGTAAACCTCAAAAATTTAAAAAAAAAGATCAATTAAAGTTCATAAATAATAAAAAGAACATATAATTTTTTGTTTGATCAGCATCCCAGAAAATAATTCGTTTGTTTATTTGAGAAAAAAATGTTACAACAAGAATTTGGGAGGACTACAAATACAAATATGGCAAACTAAGATAGAATGATAGAATTTACAAGCATCCATAAAATAGAAGTAACAAATTCTAGCCTTTTAGCATTCAACAAAAAAAGTCAATTAACAGTTTCAAAATCCAAATTTCTCAAATTGTTCAGATGACCAATCATATGTATTAGATTATCAAAATTTCCCCATCATCAAAGTTTCTTTCACTAATGAGATCTTCTAATGAATCAATTGATACTAGACTTCTGGTAAGAATAATGAAGGTTTTTTTGGACCTTGTTGCATTGAACTCTTCTAAAACCCTAAGAGAAACTAGGAACTCTATTTGCCCTATTAAATTTTTATTTTAATCTTTTTATTTGGTCGATAATTACCAAAGTGTCCTTCCCATATGTTTTAAACTTAAATAAAAAAACATAATTTTTTTTATTGTATCAAATAACTCAATGTTGTAAGTTTTTGAGGCTTATTTCTCTATGCCTCACGCCTCAAGGCTTACACCTCTTTTAACAAAGGCTTAAGCCTTAAACCAAAGTTATGAGGTTTAAGTGTTGAGGCAAAATCTGAGTGCCTTGCTTCAAGGCTTAAGACTTTTAGAACCATGGTTTCACCTAATAAATATGTTATTTTAGAAAAGGATAAACAGAACATAACATCATGTGGCACTTAATTCAAAAGTAAAGAAAAGCATATCCAGAACCCAAGAAATAGGAAACTAATAAAATATTTCTTCAATTTTCTCCTAAAATCTTACACCAACAGTCAAGATCACTAAAAGAAAGTGGAAAATATCCAGAAAGCTAAAATTAGAAATTATCAGAAAAAAAAATCAGAATCAACACAAAAGTCTACCTCTAGCAAACTGAGATTGTTAAAAGGTTGTGAAGTACTTATTCCCAACTTGAGTCAAAACCAATCTACCAGGTCGCTATGTTCTGAACATTACCTGTGATAAGTTCTTGACCTCTGGTTGTGGGCAACACGGTTACTTTAATTGGAGATCCCACCACTTAGACCTGATTTAGTAGAATCCCATGCTGGAAAGTGTGAGAATACGGTTTTGAGTCTCAGAGTGGCCACTTTGTGCCCAAAAAAGGGCCAGAGGTTAGTCTGCATCTACTCCACCCCTCCCAAGTACCTCAAATAGTTAGACCTAGTTTGATTTATCTGTCATCATATACTACTGAGGATACAAGATATCTATCCTAAATCATGCCAATTATTCCATATTAAATTAGGAGAGTTATATATTGCTAGATAATTCAATTCCCCTCTTTCTGAGGTGAAAGAAATAGATGCCTATTTGCTTGTTTCTGATCCTGAGCATACCTTGAAAAACTTATAACCAACCTATTGAAGCAACTATTTGAGAGAGTTGTACCTTCTTTTTGATTAAGGTCTTCTGTGGCTGCTAATCAACTGGAGAAAGCAGGTTTCAAAACTCTGTCATGTATGACATCGGGTCTTCAGTCAGTAAAGCCAGGTTAAGTGCCAAATTGAACACCTGGATCTCTGTCACATTACATTTACCTTTATCCAGAGATAATTATAAGCATGAAATCTTTGTATAATAAGAGGACCAAGAATGTTTATTTTGCAGGTATGTTTGATTCTGTTGGTTCCACTGAGCTGCAAAATGCTGGCAAGGCTGGTTTAGTGACTGTTCAAGGAAAGATTTCAGCTGTCCTTGGGACCGTACTTATTTGTCAGTACTTTTCTTTGATCCTTATTGTCACGAGTCCCTTTGATATTTCTAGCCCCATAAATAGTTACTTTCCTCGTTTTATCAAATGCCCAGGTGCATATCTTTTCATAACCTTTTTCCCTGAACAAGCGGAGAAGCTATTTCAACTGGCTCCTGCAAGTTAGCTCTTGGAAGAATCCAAAATTTTGCAGTTCTCGTTCTCTTTTCTTCCTGGACCAAGAAATTACAGCACTTAAACTGTATGCAACTTAAAAGTCCAATGGCAGGGAAAAGGAAACTGTGTGAAAGTGGATCTTCACCTGGTAATGCACAAAGTTATTGAATTGCAGATCACTTTTAGCAGTATAAATATGCATATTACATGTTGAGATGGACAACATTCATGTCCTCATTTCAAAATTATTTAACTTATTTGTTACAGGGTCTTTTAAGTTTTGTAATCATACTTTTGACAAGTCCAGAAACCCATTTGGCATCTCATCTCCTTTGAGCTGTCTTGAAATGCAACAACCTTAACTGAGAAGAAACTCTGGAATCTTGAACTTAAGGTTCACATTAACCTTCTGAATTGCATTATATGCACGTTCTGCATGTAAACTCATGGCTATAGACATCTGACAACAAAGTATCTTTTATTTAGGAATGCTTCATTATACAGGGCTGAAGGATGTAACCATGATCTACTGTGGAGCATGTTGGATGGAGAGAGAGAGAGAGAGAGATGGATACTTGTTTCTGTCTATTATTTTGGACACATTGCAGAGAGCAGCATATTCCATCCTAAGGGAAAACAGTATTATCATTGTAAGTTTGTAACATTAATAGCTATCTTTGTCTATGTACTTTGTGAAAGAAAATTTTCATGTATATCAGTTCTGTAGAGACGAGCAAAAGTTTTAGATTTTCTAAACCAATTTGGAATCCTGATTGCATGTGAGTTCTTGTAAAATGGAAATGATCTGGGGGTGGGGGGTGTTCTTATACTTGAATTTAGCTTATCCATGGAACTAAAATGGATAGATCTGCGGATTGCAGATTGTATGGAAGCATTGATTAGAACCCGCATAAAGTCAACTAGACCAAAACAGAATGAACAAGAAGATTGTTTTAAAGAGAACAGTGGAGAATGGGAGTAGAGAATGCCTGGTGCAACTATGAACATGCGAAGAGAAATGTGTGGAAGTTGTATCACTCTGGTAGTGGTTCAGGAAGCATGCCCAGCATGTATCTTCAACAACTTGTCTCCGAATAACTGGATTTTCTTGAGCTTGGCTAGTAGAACATGAAATGGACATTGAATTTATAGTGTTTGGAGAACAAAAGAGTTGTTTCCATGGTTTTGAAAACTTGACCAGACCGGTTGACTTGGGAACGGTCATGCAACCAGTTCTATTTCACCCTAAGACCGTTCCTGGGCCTAAAAACATTGATTTGGTTAGTGCCTGCTGACTCAGGTGGCCATACCGTCAACCCCTTGACCCAGGCAACGGTTTTGGCCTTTTTATTTTAATTATTTTTAAATCAGAATGGGTTGTCTTTTCGAACCGGATGGTTGAACCGTTCAACTTGGGAGTTGGTTGCCAAAACGATATCGTGTTCGGTCTGGTTTTTAAAACCTTAGTTGTCTCGTCTTGTCTCGAAATGAGTATGGCCCAATTTTGCCACCAACATGGACTAGGTATGATATGCCATATGTCAATATGCCCATTTTCTTTGGGATCCGGAACGAAGATATCAGTAAGCCCATTTTGTTTTGGATTCAACATGAATTCGCATCTAAATCTGCTTCCCATTTAAATATTGGAAAATTATAGTCTAAGCTGGGTCAACATTTAAAATTAGGCTACAGGTTGGTTTAGAAACCAACAAAACTCTGAAAGCACACTCTACATTTTAAATTATAAAAAACCCCACCATGTCATTGAAGGCTTATATGGCTATTGCCAACATGGGACTCTTAACCCATGTTGAACACAACAAAAAGCCTATAACAAAATTACCCATAGTATTGGGTTATTTGAAAATAAAAAAAAGGGTTTTAAGTTTCTCTCCCACTTCTTCTGTCTTTTGATCTCCCTCCCACTCTCTCACTCTTATAGGTAGTCTGTCTCTCTTTGCTCAATGACTGTATGATTTGAAGATAAACAAAAATGGTTTTTGGTTTCTATATTTACGTCCTCTTTGTCAATCTCTGTATGTGTGTGTAAATCTATCATTCTCCCCCATTCTCTCATTCTCTCTCTCTCTCTCTCTCTCTCTCTCCCCCCAATCTCTCTTGGTCGATCTCTCCTTCTCTCTCAGTCACTTCCCACTCCTCTTTCTTTTTTTTTTCCTTATACGGTATTTAATCAGATCGTATAATAGGACATAAGATCAACCACTCGTACAAACAAATTATAACTTCTATCAAGTTGGTGTAAATTTCATAGCGAAGAGTTTCTTGTGATTTTTTATCAAATTGGGTTGAGGAAGTTAGAAACTTAGAACTATACCAAGTTGGTCTTATGTTCTTTAATACAGTTTGATTAATACTATATAAGTGCGTAAGAAAAATATTAAAAAAATGCGAGAGAGGGAGCAAGAGAGAAACTGAGAGAGAATGATAGAGATTGAGGGAGAATGATAGATCAACCAAGAGAAAGAGAATGAGGAAGAATGAGAGATTAATCAAGAAAAAAATGAGAGAGGTTGAGGGAGAATAGTATATTGATAGAGAGGGAGAGAATGAGAAAGATTTACAGAGAGAATGTAAAACCTTTTTTTCAAATCACATAGTCATTGAATAGAGAGAGACGACTATGAGAGTGAGAGAGTGGTTGGGAGATCAAAAGATAGAGGGAGTGGGAGAGAAATTGAAAACCTTTTTTTTTTAAATAAACCAGCATTAAGGGCAATTTTAGTATAGGCTTTTTGTTGTGTCCAACATGGATTAAGAGTTCCATGTTGGAAACAACCATATAAGTATCTGATAACATGGTGAGAGTTTTTATAATTTGAAATGTACAATCAGTTGTTAGAGTTTTGTTGGTTTTTGAACCAACCTGCAACATCATTTTAAAAGTGGAGCTGATTTAGACTATAATTTTTCCTTTGGTTATAGATTGCATTGGACCTATAGGTTCAGCCAAATTGATTCGAGTTCAAATCAGCTACAATCAAACAGTCCTAATAGCATCCCAATGGGCTATTGCACTACACGTCAGGAACATCTCTCCATAAACTGACAACAAGGGGAGCTGAGGTCTTCTACCAACAAAACACGTTCCAACCCTTTACCAACTTGATCTAACACCACACATCTCACAATGAGATTGGAACCCACCATAAAAGTGGTGATGGAGGGTGATTTGGCCTGACCTCGTAGCACAGGCACACGTGGGCGTGACCTTGCTCAAGCGATGACTCAGCGTGACAGCACAGCAAGCGTAGCCGTAACTCGGAGGGAAGGTTCCACCGAGTTCAGCCCGGCAACTCGGTAGGATAGGCTACTCGCCGGGAGCCGCCTGGCCTGCACCTCCTCCCTGAGGCTAAGGCACCCCAAGCTGCCTCCGAGCTTGGGGCCCCCTGACCTTTCCTAATACTCGAGCTCTTCCTAGTGAATCTCAGTCCACTCCTAGACAGGAACACCCCGATCCGCCTCTAGGTACCCCGAGGTGAAGACACCTCGGGCCAGACAGCTCGGCATAGCTTGCCACAGGCAGCTCGCCGCTTGCGGGATGGCCCAGCACAAGGTAACTCGCGAGAGAGCAGTTCGGCATATCGCAGGAAGATCTCCTGCCCGACCACCGTACCCAACAAATCTGGGGACAACAACCACGTCCCTCATCAGACAGTGTCGCTTCTGTCACCTTTAGAGGGTGCCATACACCTGACAGGCACGTACCCTGCAATGACGACCCCATGCGTGCCACCTCAGCCCTGCCTGTAACGGCTGCGACAGGCTGACAGTGGCGGTTATACCTGCCCTATCAGAGGCCAATGGAACTGATGCAATGGAATTCTATTATAAAGAGCCTACTCTCAAAGAACAGGGGCAACTTCTATCACTTGCGCTATCTGCACTCTTAGCCTTAATCCTCTCCTTGCTTCTTCTGCAGAATACTAACTTAAGCGTCGGAGTGTTCCCGCCGGGCAAACCCCCGGGAATTCTTCTTCTTCTCCATCTCAGGTACCTTTCAGGAGCCACGCAAGTGCCAACTAGGAGTGACCGGATTGCGCACCATCATTTGGCGTCGTTTGTGGGAATCACTTCTAAAAGCCTTCCTCTAAACCTTCACAGTTTTTTCTTCTCTGAAAACTTGGTACTCATGGCTTCTTCGAGCAATGCCAGACGTAGCATGGAAATGGATAACGCCAGGGAACAACCCCAGGTTCCCACGGTCTACATTGGGCAGTTCACCATTCCCCTCTCGGTGGACGGAGTCCCCAGCCTGAACGTGCCGCGAGCAGCGGCGCCTGTGGGTGTTCCCCTTCCCTCCTCTGTTGAAACGACCTTTGCTGAACCGACTGTCATCCCTCTGGCGACCAGCCAGAACCAGCTCGACGATTTGATGTAGTGCATGCAGGCCATGCAAGCCCAAGTGCACCAGCTCCAGCAACACCAGCTTTACCAGTAGCAAGTGTTGCACCACGTCTCCCAGTACCACTACCAGCAGCAATTCCCTTAGTTGCCTCAGCCTCAGCTTCAGCCACAGCTCCCTCCTCGGCACCCAACCTCACAGCGAGCTAGGTCCCGCCGCCAGGATGAACGGCCTTCTCGCAAAGGAGAAGCCTCCCAAAACCCCCCTAAGAGCCAGACCTCCTCCCATGGTAGACAAGAAAGACCGGCCACCCCAGTCTCACCGCGGGCGATCAGGTCGGGAGGACCCCAACTTGCCAGGTCTACATCACCTCGACAGTCAAAGTTTGAAACCCCGCTTCTGGACAACAGGTTCGAGATCCTAGCTACAGACTCCAAGCAGGATCCCTCTGTCTGCAACCATCACTAACGGCCTGAGCTACTTCCTGCACAAACCATTCCTAACAGCACGGAAGTGAGCAGCACAAGTGCGAAGCCTGCCAAGAAGCAGAGATGCCGTCGTCGGGGTCGCCGATCTGCCACCCACAACCTGCTCGAGCTCGGAGGCAGAGAAAAGATAAGCTCGGGCGGGCGAAGTTAAGGCTCCCCTCCTTTCAGTTCCATCCCCCCTGTCTCCCGAGTTCCTAGTTGTTCCAATGCCTAAGGACTTCAAGCTCCCCCCTCTCGACAAGTACGACGGGTCGTTTGACCCAAATGATCACGTAGACGCCTTCCAGTCGCAAATGCACCTAGCGAGAGCCAGTGAGTCATGCATGTGTGTGGCCTTCTCCACCACTTTCAGAGGAGTGGCCCGCACATGGTACCGGAACCTAGCACCCGGATCGATAAGAAGATGGGCGCAGTTCGCGCAAGCCTTCACGTCCCACTTCGTCACCAGTAAGCGGTGCCCACGAACTGAAGAAAGCCTCCTCAACATAGTACAAAGAGAGGGAGAGTCCATCTGGGGCTATATCAAACGGTTCAACGATGCATGCATGCAGATACCGCGCCTGAACCCCACCGTGCACCTTGCAGCAGCCAAGAAGGGTGTGACGCATAAGGAGTTCAAATGGCACATGGTCGTCAACCATAACCGAATTCCTAAAGCTCGCTGACAGATTTATAGCCACGGAGGAAGAGATCAACCGGAAGGGCGAGGGCGTGCCCGAGAAGAGGAAGAGAGAATGAGAGCCTTCCAGCCAAGGGGACAGCCGAAAGAAAAAGGATGCAGCTCGGGGGGCAAAGTCGGGTCAGTCATTCTGAGCTCCTGTAGCAGACCAAATTGATTACACCCCACTGAACGTGAAGCGGGCCGAAATCCTGATGGCAATCAAGGAAGCCCTGTACGTAAAGTGGCCACCCCACTTGAGGGGGAATCC